CCCTAAGTTTCTAAGCACAAGCATGCAAAATCATGGTGAAAAATATCTCAAACATTAAATTGAACAATGCCCAATATCAATCATCAAAACCACATAAAAGAAAATTACATGGCAGGGTTTAGGGTTTCACTACACCCAAGTGGGAGGAGGACTCCATGGAAGAAGTGGGAAGAACAAAGGAGAAAAAGGTGGAAACCATCTTATGGGGATGCCTCCTCTCTTTTTCAACCTTGAGCTGGGATTTCCTTGGGGAAATCTTCCCAAAACATCTTTGAAGCCAAGCCCTAACCTCTTCTTCTCTTTCGGTTCTGTTTCTCTCACTAAAATGCAGAAGAAGGTGTTTCTCTCAAAAAAGTGGATCTCCCCTCTCTCTTTCTTGCAGCTCGGCTTTTAAACCCGAGAAGAGCTGAGTTCACGGCCGTGAACCATCAAACGCGTCCGTGAACTCACGCCTTGCGCCAAAACGCTCCGCATCGATCATGGCAGTTCACGGGTAACTGTTTGTGTTCACGGGCACCGTGAACTCGCCTTGCGTCAGTAACCTTCAACTTGGCTTTAGACGCCTTGCGCTTCATGGTCAACTCCCCTTCTTCACAGTCTTGTACGACCGTGAACTCCTGCCTTTAGCCGTGAACTTGCGTTTTTCACCTCTTCTCCCGATTTTCGATCCTTTTCGCCAATCCTTCGACTTTGAGGCTGGTTCCACCTGTTAAATCCTGAAAAGCACTCAAACACGAAGAACCTCACGTAAAACCAACCTCTAATGAGCGAATTTGGCACAAAAATCTAAGCAAACCGGGGCAAAATATGTGCAATTAGGCCTGAATCAATAACCCTTGTTCTAACAAAAAAAAACCCTCAATTACAGTGGAAAAAACCCTCCATTAACCATGATCTCCATTGCAACAAATCCCAACTTAGCATCACCTTCGATAACGTTGACCCATTCAGCCAAACGACCCTTCTACAAGTTTCGATTGAGATGAGTTGCCCAAGCAATTGAGCAACAAGCAACAAGCTGACGACTACCATCTCGTAGCCCTCACTTCCACCACTCCAGCTCCTTGCTCGATCCTTCCTCCAATGATGGCGAACAAGTTGATTCCGCCAACGCCGCCACCACAACCAGTCAAGAAATATGCATCGACGAGATCGAGGGGCAAGTTTGTGAGGGGAGTAGGAATGGGGCCAGGGGTAGCAAACACAACAAACACACGAAGCTTGAGATAATTTGGGTGTTCGTTGAATAAGGAATAGAATGGGGTAGCACCATGGAGAGAGGTAGAGGGCAAGCGATTTATGAGGTAGATAGCAAGGATGGCCAAGTTGATTGTGCCAGATACTGGATGATTGCTTCTTCACGACAGTTAAGGCAAGTCGAACAGGTTGGGTTGTGACCAGCAGCTCATAGACATCCCCCTAATCCGGCCGCGTAGCAGATGTACCCATGTGGCTAGATCCTTCACAACAAAACAATCAGAAAAGAATTCCACATACATCATATTAGATTTACACAATTGAGCAACAGACAATAACCGGCGTTTGATAGCAGGAACACAGATCACATCACGAAGAGATAAGGGCGTCACAAAAGTAGACAGAGAGGAGTGACTAATATGAGTGATATGCAGACCTGACCCATTGCCAATAAGAACCTCATCAAAGTCGTTGTAGTCTGTATACAAGGAGAGATTGTCGAGGTCAGGAGTCATGTGATTTGTGGCGACCAAATCGACGAGCCAACTAGCAGAAGAGGAGGCGACAGTGGAGTAATGTGCTTGCGGACGACCACGCATACGATAACAGTCCTTAGCCGAATGCCTGGGATTGTCGCAGTATTGACAAAAACCTGAGGAAGACCGAGGAAGAGCACGCAGGCTGGAGTCACACCGAGAGTGAGCGTCGTAGCCGTAATAAGCAGGGGAGGCGGGACGATGAGGGATGCCAGAGTTGTGATAAACCATCGGGGAATGAGGCCGACCATGAGCAGAGGAGAATGCAGTGGTGGGAGAGGCCACAAAGTGAGGCACGTGGACAACAACAAGATCAGCTTCAAAATCGACAAGGCGATCGTGAAGGTCTCCGAGCGCTATGGTGGTGTCACGGGCATGAATCGCAGCAGAGAGTTGGTCATATTCTTCACGAAGGCCACGTAGGACATGAAGGATCATGTCTTCGGGTGCAACAGGAGAATTAGCAAGAGCTAATTCAGCAGCAATGGTGCACATCGATTGAAGATAAACGGAGACCGGGTGATTACCTTAAGTTTCACGACTGAGCTTTGTTTTGAGAATGATGACCCTCTGCCGGGATTGGCTAGCAAACATCCTCTCTAAAGTCGACCAGGCTTCATGAGAGGAGCGTGCGGCAGAAACATATGGAGAGACAGTCGGCGACATGGATGTGAGAATAGCATGGAGGAGAAGTTGATCTTGTCGGAACCACCGGATGCATTCAGCTGCATGAGTGGCGGCAGCGGGCTGCGGATGAGTGTTGTCTATGAATTTCAGAAGATCTAGACTGCAGAGAAGTGTCATGAGTTGTGCCTGCCAAGTGGGGAAATTGTCCTGAGCTTGGTAGGGAGTTGAGAGGCAGGGTTTAATGTGATTATGGTGTTTGGTTCATCAAGATTGAGAACATATTCTCAAGTATTGGAAGACATGGTTAAAATTGTTGGAGGAGAAAAGGTAGACGGGAGTGGCTAGGTTAAGAAAAAATCCATAATGGGAGAGAGAGAGATGTTGTTTGGGAACGCAAAGAAAGACGTGTAGGTTAAGGAGATCGGGGCACTTGGTCTCATACCATGTAAGTGATTGGAAGAGGTAGTTTGTATTCTTTAGGAGAGTGGTTTAAATACCAACTCTTGAACATAAACATATCTACAAAAGGGGAACCACCTAGCCACTAACTCAACTAATGGGAAAGGTTACGGTGACTACTTCACTGTAGTAATCACCGTGGTTACTAAGGATAAATTGGGTATGAAAAATAAATTGTATTAATTAATTTTTTTAATAAATTACATTTTAGGTAGTTACAAGAATCTATTAATTACAATTCTCTCTCTTTCTCTCACTTCCACAATCTCCAGCCAAATCCCCTTTCCTTGTTTTTCTCAATCTTTCTGCAAAAGAAAAAAAAACACGAAATAACTACCAATCCATTAGACAACCACTACCATTTTGAAAAATATCAATACCATTGCAGAAATAAATCTATACCATTACACGAAAACTACTGATATAAACAATCTACCAATATAAATCTATACCATTTCACAATAAATCAATACCATTGCAGATTTAAATTAATACCAATTCGCTAGAACCACTACCATTTCGGAAAACACCAATACCATTGCAGAAATAAATCAATACCATTAGGAAAAACAATACCATTACACTAAAACTACCAATATAAACAATCTATATCATTACAAAAGTCAAAACAATACCATTGCAGAAATAAATCAATACCATTAATAAAAACAAAACTACCATTTCATAAAACGAAATAAATAAACCAGTGCCAAAAAAGTAAACCCAGATCTAGAGCCTTTCAGAGAGAGAGAGAGAGAGAGAGAGAGAGAGAGAGAGAGAGAGAGAGAGAGAGAGAGAGAGAGAGAGAGAGAGAGGAGGAGGAGGAGGAGGAGGAGGGGAGACCTTGTAATGGTAAATGGAGGAGGCCGTGGGAATTAGTCTGATAGATTGAGAGGTCGTGGGAATGGAGAGGCCGTCATTTGTAAATGGAGGAGGTCGTCATTTGTACCTCCGCCGCTAAGTGAGATAGAGAGGTCGTGGGAATGGAGGTGGGTTGGGGCGGCGAGAGGTAGCAGAGGAGGAAGGGTGGTGGTAGGATGGCGTGGGAGGGGTGGCGGCAGGCGAGATGCAGCGGAAGAGGGTGGGTGAGTTGCAGTAGGATTAGGGTTTGGGTACAATATATAGAGTAATCAGGTGTGACACTTTTTTCATTTTCAAAATTACCCTTATTATAATCTTTATCGTTAATTTAAAAAATAGCTTAAAATAGAGATAATGAAGGGTGGAGATCTTGGTAGCCACTGTGATTACTGAAAATTAAGTAACCAAGCTAACCCATCCCCTCAACTAACTACATTAAGCACAAATAATTAAATTAATGAAGAAGATTCCTTATCAGACCCGACGGGTGTGTACGGCACATTTTTCTCAACAAGTCAGGGTCAAAGCAAATCGACTAGCTGAGTGTATACTAAATGTTTTTCTCACCAGGTCAGAATCAAAGCGGGCAAACCTACAACTCAACCCGCTAGTTGACAACCTTGGTCTTGACAGATATCCTTCTTTTCAACCATTCCATCATCTTTATGGAGACTTCTGGGCAAAAGGTTGTTGTCTTTTTCTATTTCTTTCTCTGCTCTTGGGACTAGGGATGGCAATTTCGACCTGACCCGTTTTACCCGACCTGTTTTGGGGTGGGTCCGACCCTCCCCGTAGGCGGGTCGGGGCGGGCATGGGTAGTCTCATCGACCCGACCTGCCCTGACCCGCCCCATTCTCGACCCGTTCTTGTCTAAATTACATGTAATCTTAGTCGAATTACTTAGGATTTTCCTTTTATTGCATCATATTTTTAGCTATAAGAAAGTTGTAAATTAGTGAAAACCTCAATTTCTCCAATAATTTAACTACAATTGTCATAATATTGTTTGTTTTCTTAGTCTTATAATAAAAATAACAAATATTACTAATGTTTTTAATATAAATTGTATACTCATTGGGTCGTCCTACCCCAACCCGCGACTCGAGATCAATTACCCGACCTGAACCCGACCTGCAACGAGGCAGGTCTGGATACCAAGAAACCCGCCCCGGACCTGCCCATTGTCATTCCTACATGGGACTGCATTTCTGTCGACTTCCCAATATCTCTCCTTCGTATCTTCTACCTTTTGGAATACAAACGCTGGGCTTCAAGTTTGTGAAGGAATGGGAGGTACAACAGGATTGACTAATAAATTTCCCAACACATTTCAGCCTTTTAAATGTTCTTTTTTTCTTCTTCCAGTTCGATGTTAAATCTATTTATCACAACATAATAAGGTAACACGTAACATCTGATAATTTTTTAGATGTAGTTACCAATAACACATCCTAGAGTTTGCAATTGTACATTGATATTATAGCAAACTAACTAGCAAAACGCAGTAGGATTGTCTGCGATGTACACATTACAGATTCACAGATTGGCACATGCGACTAACTGTTCTTATCTGACGGTAAACTTGGCGGAAATCACAACAATTCTATGCAATAGCATCAACAGATTGACCCGGGTAGAGGTTCAGAATTTGGCATATAGGCTAACTACCTGGTCTTCCGTTTTCTCTTCGGAGGCTCGGATCTAGTTCCTGTAACCAGAATAAGAAGGCCGTCCTGTGATTGGTTTACAAGGAGCACTACTAACTAATTAATTTAACGGTTGCAAAGGCAACAAGAAAGAAGAACCGATTAGTGGAGAGACAAACCTCTATATGGCTGAACGGTATCCAATTGTTCCAGAATTCCAGTAACATTTCCAGTCTGAAAAGATAGCATGGGCAAATATAGTATGCAAATCGAATGCCAAACAGAAATGGCAAATGTAAGCAACCAAGGTAAGACTTTAGGATAGACGAACCGTATCATTAACTGGAATTTGATTGCCACAGAAGCGTACGGCAGGTAAGAGCAGTCTGCCTACAATGCATCAACAAAAGAAGAGAGTACTGAAGCATCTAATAAAACGAAACAGCCTAGTTTTGAATGTCAAGAGCATTCAGAAACCAAGAGAAAGATTATGCCAAACAACGATGAAGACTACACTACTCCATAGCAAGCTCACCTGATCGGGATCTTTTGAGATTCAAAGACTCCGGAGAGTGCAGACGAGACCTTGATTTTCCTTCCACTGTCTTTGGAGTAACCTAATAGACAATACAAATGGAGGATTAGATCCCACAAGGGGCAAGCCAATAGTGTAAACCAGAGCATACACTTACTAACCACGTCAAGGTAGCAGAAGGACACTATGCAAATGAGGAGCTATTGCCTATCAGCAGTTCGCAGTCACAAATTTATTTGCTCAGAAGACGAATCTTGATGAAATAAACTACCAGTAAGCAACTTACCGGAGTTTCAAAGAAAATTCTCTTTTTGACTTTTGTTGTACCAGAAGAATCCCCAGCTTTAACATTAAGCTTTTCATGCCTCTCTTTCCTTGTTGAATTTCTTGTCCTTCTAGATGCTCCTACCTCTGACTTACAATTTTTCACTTTGCTTGATGAGGGAATAGTTCTTTTATGCACATCTCCACGCTTCCCTTCTTCATCAAGGTGAGGCTTCGCTGACTCTGATGGCAACTCTTTGTTTTGCCTGACTGCATATCTAGATGCTTTCTTTTTGCTCAGATATTTAGGGCTCGCTAACTTTGACCTGGATTTCCGTCTTTTAGATCTAGAGTTCCCTTGTTTCTTCAAGTCAACACGTTCATCAATATTTGGGTACACAAACGTTCTTATGCTTTCTGCCACAGGTGGAATATCCAAATTAGCCGCTATGCGTGATTGCACTAGTGACTCGATCACTGTACACTTACCATTATTTGAATCAAGTTCTGGATGACTGAACTTGCCAGCATCTGGAGATGCAGATGCACCACTTTCTTTCTCACCATTAAATCCTGACGTCAGCTCAGGAACTTGAAGCAAGGAAGTTGTTGACCTGTTTATAACCCCACTCCTTAATGCATATCCGTACCGTGGACTGTCATAACTTTTTGCAGGCTTCTTCTGGTTCAATTCTAACACATTCAGATGGTCCACATCGGATCTTTCAAAACCAGAGTCTTCTTCGGGAGCAGAAGGGCTGGTAAAGGTTGAATATCTCAAGGACAATACTGGTTCCTTGCTGTTTAAGTTTCGGGCAGACCTCTTCTTACTCTTGTTGCTTTCTAACTTGTCAACAATTCTTTCAGGGGAAGAACTCGAACCATCATGATACACAGTGTCACAAGTGCCTTCCACGCTGGAATGTTTTTTGGTGATCACTTTTTCACAGGCAGAACTTCTAGATCTCGTTATAGGACTGTGCAATGGACACCTTTTCAAGGCCTTGATGTCGAAGTTCAGGGATGGGGGATATGGACCATCTTTCACAACTTCATCATTAGAATTATCTTTGTCAGCAGTTGGAGTAGACTCTGCAGCCGCGGATTGCATATCTGCAACAGCAGTAAATCAACAAGATAAACAAAATCAAAACAGGGTTTAGTGATGCTATCCTCCCCCTTCCCCGGGTCGACCAATCTGACTAGTTAGTAATTACCTGGATCTGCAGAGGTTTTCGTCATGTGAACTTCATTGCTATATGCATCTTGAACCCACCTTTTGGCACAATGTTCCCAGTAAAAAGGAAAGCCCAACAAGAAACTATTTGTGGCCTGAGGGAGCGAGGGGAAAGTAAAGAACATTCAAAAGGAGAAGTTATGTAAGCTAATCGTAAAAGCTCAGCTAGTGTGCCCACAGGTACAAGGGGAAACAATCCCAACTCCAGTCATATACATCAACTGTGTTATATCAGCGAACTTGCTACGATTTCAACTCCATTAAACCTAACATTCTCAAAAGTGACAATACACTCTAATACATAACCATAACCGATGAAGGGAAAGAAAAAGCAAGCTAGCACCTCAATAGGGAATCCGTTTTGGACAGTGCGAGTCCGGTTCAGGAAGCCATGGATGAGCACAGTGACGCCATCAGCAGTCTCCAGGGTAAACACATCGTAGGTTTTGATAATCGGTGCCGAGCGAAACTCCCGCAAACCTCTTTGACTGCCACAGTTAACGAATCATCTTTTAAGTTAACAAACAAAATCACAGAGTTGGGGCGAAATCCCAAAGGGGGAAAGAAAGAGGCGAAAATGGAGTTTACCCGCTGGGAGGAAATCCTGCAACTCCGAGCCTCTTTCCCTCGTAGTCCTGGTCGGCTTTGATAAGCCACCAGTCCTGCAAAGTCACCTGTCCAAAGAAGAAGACACAGGGCGAGTCGGTCAGAAAACGAAGAGCAATTTTGCTAGGAGAGTTGAGGGTTTTGCAGAAATCAGTCGACTGAACTGTTTTCTTGAAGTAAGAGACGGCCTTGTTGCAGGTGGGGCGACGACCGACCGCGCTGCTCGGCGACTGGTTGCCGGTAGGCAAAGCGGCATCCATGGAGAGAGAGAGGGGTTGCACTGCTGCTGGGTTCGGGATTGAAAACACCCAGGCACTGATGATTCTCAACTCATCCCTCCGCAAAAGTTAAAATGCTAACAAGCCGATACTAACTCGTATCTAAAATAGCCGAACTAATATCCACCTTATAGACAAATTATGGCTACTGAAAATATTTCGATAAAACTAGAAAAATTAGGAAGAAAAATAGATGAATATCAAGGAAATCTAATAAATATATTAGAAGACAATAATAAGCAATTAAAATCAATATTAGAATATCAAGATAATGAAAAACAAAAAGATATATATTCAGATTTAGAACACGCTAAGGGAATAGTAATGGGAAAAACAACTCCACTATTACCAATATAATAGTGGATATAAAACAAAGAGAAATAGCAATGGGAAAAACAACTCCAAATTCTAAGGAAATAGTATTACCGGTAGAAGATCTTAAGGAAATCATTATTAAACTTCAAGAAATAATAATTAAATTAGATAATAAAAGAAGCATTACAATTGAAGATATAAAAGAATATTTGAATGAGCATAAATCAGGAAAATCTATCCCATTAACTATCATGGCACCCTACAAACTTCTATGACTAGTATTGACGAACAAATTAATAAATTAAACGATTTACTAGCCGCAATTACTATTGAATCAGAACCAGAAATAGAAGAAAATATAGAAAACGATAAAATAGTTCTTGACTATAGTAGTGACGAAAACTGAAACTGAGGATCAAGCTGAAACATCACGAAAGCGTGATTTTAATGACTATAAAGATGGTCAACTATTTTTTGATGAATACTTATATAAAAATTCGTATACACCTCGCAAAGGGGGAGGATGGAGTAAAATACCTCAATCCTACATACCAAAATATTCCACCACTAGTTTTAACAATCCTGATATAATAGATCTTGATTGTTGCGTCAACCCATTAAAAGAATTAGAAGACTGGAAAAATCGAACAGGATTACTAATACAAACTAATGAAGATCTAAAGAAATTACACCCTAATGAAATGTTTAATTTCTTAATATATAAAACAACTGGGGCAGTTTATCATTATCTTAACAACATGGATATTCCTACTAAGACAACGTTATATGGAACAACGGATGCGACGAACACCTTTGAAAAAGTCTTAAATGCAATAACTCATGAATTCTTAGGACGACATCCTCGAGAAGATAAACCAAACACAACCATAAGTCAACAAGCTATTTGGCATTTAACTAATCTTAGAATTTGCAACATGTGCTTCTTAGAACCATTTATTTGTGAATTCAGAACACATTATTATCAAGTCACCCCTTCGATAAGAAAAGAGATGGATAAATTACTTTATGCTAAATTACCACCTAATGTCTCTGAAAAAGTTGAAGCTACCTTTAATGAAACTTTGGCTAAAGAAGAGATACCAAATACATTAGGAGGACGAATATTAGTTTTACAAGAATGGCATAAACAAGCTTGCAATAAGGAAAAACTAAAGAAAGAAGCTAAAATTAAACTCTGTTGTGAACAAACAATGGACAGAGTTGGAAAGTATAGGTGTAATGATGATCGTAAGATCATTAAAACTCGGAAAAAATATAAAAATTATAAAAAATGGAGAAAAATACCTTACAAGGAATATAGAAAAAATAGGTTTAGAAAACCGAATAAATATTTCAGAAATAGAAAACAGTTTAAACAAAAATCAAGACAACAAGAATACTGTCCTAAAGGAAAAACAAATTGTAGATGTTGGTTATGTAACGAAGAAGGACATTACGCAAATAGATGTCCTAAGAAAAATACTAACACTAGAAAACAAGAAGTCCTTAGATTAGCTTACGATTGTGGTTTTGAACCAATCGAAGAAACAGATTTTGAACTATCCGATATAGAAATTATTGAATATATTTCAACCTCAGAAACCTCTTCAGATGAGTCAGAAGAAGGTTTTAACTAAGGGCAATCCTAACGCAACGTTTATTAAAATAGAAATAGAGAAGAAAAGCTTCTTAGCATATATTGATACAGGGGCAACCTTATGTTTTGCCAAAAAATCAACCATAAAAAAATGGGATAAACTTGAAAAACCTTTAAAAATTATAGTGGCAGACAAATCTATCCATGAAATTTGGTATGTAAAACAATATGTACCAATAATCATTGAAAAACATATCTTCACAGCTAAAACAATCTATCAACATGACTCAGGACTAGATATAATAATAGGAAATAACTTTCTAAAATTATATCAACCATTTATCCAAAGGATTAGAACAATCAGCCTTAGATGTCCTAAAACAATAGACCAGGAATCTAAGATAATCACAACAAGAATAATCACAAAAAATGAAGTGCTAAAAATTGTGCTTCAAAACCTCAAAAATAGACTAGAATATATACAGATTACTTATAGCATTCTAGAAGATACTTTAGACCAGGTGTGTAGTGAACATCCTTTAGATAAAGATAAAAATATCAATCAAGAACTTATCGAAATTAAACTAAAAGATCCTAAAATGGAAGTTAATGTCCCTAACAAAATTCAATATACTCAACGAGATGTAGAAGAATTCCAAAAGGAATGTTCAGAGTTAGCTGAAAAATGAATAATACGAGAAAGTAAAAGTCCTCACAGTGCACCAGCCTTTTATGTAGAAAATAATAATGAAATCAAAAGAGGAAAAAGAAGAATGGTAATAAACTATAAAAAACTAAACGAACAAACAATAGGAGATAGCTATAAACTACCTAGGAAAGACTATATATTAGAAAGATTAAAAGGTCAAACGTGGTTTAGTAGTTTAGATGCTAAATCTGGATATTGGCAACTTCGTCTACATGAGAATACCAAACCTTTGACAGCCTTTTCATGTCCACCACAAAAACATTACGAATGGAATGTTCTCCCATTTGGAATGAAACAAGCACCAGCTATTTACCAACGGTTTATGGATCATGTATTAGAAGGTTTTCAATCGTTCTGTTTGGCATACATTGATGATATTAATATTTTCACAAATCAATCAGAAGAAGACCATCGTGAAAAAATCTTGATAGTTTTACAGAGAATAAAAGAAAAAGGTCTAATTATCTCTAAGAAGAAATCAAAACTTCTTCAAAGAGAAATTGAATATCTTGGTATGAAGATTAATAATTTGGGTGAAATTGAGTTATCACCAAACACTAAAGAAAAAATCGATAAATTCCCAAACCAACTTGAAAATAGAAAACAAATTCAACGTTTTCTTGGATGCTTAAATTATATAAGCGAACAAGGATTTTTAAAAGATTTAGCAAAAGAAAGAAAACATTTACAGAAAAAGATTTCTGACAAAATCCCTTGGTCATGGAATGATCAAGATACAAAAATAGTTTTATTAATGAAGGAAAAATGTCAGCATTTACCAAAATTATATAACCCTTGTGAAAACGATTTTCTAATAATTCAAACGGATGCCTCTAAGGACACTTGGGCAAGGTGTATGTTAGCAATACAAAATGGTAAGGAATTATTACAAATGGACAATTTTGGTAATGTCAAAATAGACAATAACGAGGCTACTGTCTCTAGCCAAGAGCCTAAAGATTATCAGTCTTCGGACAATATTATTGAACTTTCAAGTTCTCAATCATCAGTTCCTTTCAACAGTGATAAATATTCTAAGAAATTATGTAAATATATTTCTGGAACGTTTACCGCCACTGAACAGAACTATCCGATCCACGAATTAGAGACACTAGCCTGTCTCAGAACATTGAAAAAATGGAAGCTTGAATTATTATCTACAAGGTTTGAACTTCAAACTGACTCTAAATATGTAACAGGTTTTTGGAGGTACAAGCTTCAGGCAGATTTCAACAAAGGGAGATTAATCAGGTGGCAACAACAACTCCATTATTACAATCCTTATCTGAAGTATATCAAGTCCAGCAACAATCCCTTCACAGACACACTGACTCGAGAATGGAAGGATTCATAAAAACCCTCATCAATCAACTAAGGGAGAAGCAGGAAAAGAGTGCAGCACTGGAACAACAACTTCTCCTTTGCAGGGGGAGGAAGAAGCAATAATTCAATCAATCGACGTCATTCAGCAACAGTTAAAAATCAACTACATCAACGTCAGTACATTAACAACTAGCTCCACTAGTGGAAAGCCATCAACACTCACCACAGAACCTGCTGAAAAAGAAAAGTCGACAGCAACACAATCATCCACCACTACCAGCAATAATATACAAAAGACGACACGATGGGCAGACATCGTTGAACAAGAAGAAAAAGAAACAAAAGATTCCCACTATGAAGAAGACGACAGAAAAGGCAGCAAGTGGTATGTCATATTTAATGGACCATACCGAGGAGTATATCATAACTGGGCCATTGCTAGCCAGCACATCAACGGCAAACCAGTCCAACATCAATCGTTTAAAACAAAAGAAGCAGCCGACGAAGCATATAGACAATCATACAAGGTGATGGCAATGAAAGAACCAGCCAAGAATCAAGAGCAACAATCGCAGAAACTCGTCATGAAGATTCCAAGTATCAAGAGCATCCTAACCACCAAGGAAAAAGAAGAGCAATTAAAACCAATCTTTCAGAAGTTCATATCCAACTGGGATATGATAATCAACTATGAAGAAAAACACACGACCATGGGTTTCTACCCCGTCAGTCGAGGAGGACCCAAAGCAGTAATCACAGAAGAAGCATCACCAGAACTCTCTTTTGAGTTCCATCAATATGGATTAATTGACACTATCTACACTACAACCATGAAGGTATTTGAATACTTCCCACAAAGAATGAGGAACGTAATCAGAAGATATCTCGAGCTATTTGCCAAGGAAAGAGAAATATTTCTCAAGTATACAAGCAGCTACCCCGTATTCGATCAAGATAAACTATTGATCGGATCAAAGGCAGTTATCTTCATGGGAGTATCAAACCATGATTACCCTACCAGAGATGACCTACGAGACTATGAGAAGAACCCAGACTACCAAGTAAAGGGTCTTCTTGCAGTATGCAGAGCTTTAACCAAAATTGAACCGGAAAGCCA